ACGCGACTGACCAGAGAGCCGCCAATAAGTTTAAGTCAGGTAAGCACCTACGTGCATCCGCATAAACCGGAGGATGTGAAGTGGAGAATACGAGTCCGACTTATCTTCGCGAAACGCAGCAATGTCGAGTCTTGAGAACCGGATCGAATTGACTTGCCAGTCAGAGGGATCTAAAGTGCAGGCAGGTATCTAAAAGAGGGTCTTTTTCTTATGAGTCTTACTTGGATCGAGCGAGACCTAGACTTCAACTGCTCGTTCAGCAGACGATGATAACCCGTAAATTTGCATTCTATTAATTAATCGAAATTTTTCTCCACTTTTCATTTATGCAACATTCTAAAGGCGCTAGTCTACATTAAAATTGGGGAGGGTTGAAATAAATTTTTGAATAAATTCTAAAAAAAAAGATTATGTACAAAATTTTCCTCATTTTTAACGTCCAGTTTGCTGGCACGTGTGCAAATTTAATGGCGTGACTGTAAATCATTGCCGAACCGCAAAATTAAATGAACCGCGTCACTACGTATAGATATATAGACCATAACTCATACGTGTATGCATATATGGACTGACTTATAGAAGATAATTACAACTGCCCACACTTGCAAAACCGCAGTGACATATTTAATGCAACATAAATATTTTTTTCGATTCGTACCCAAAAAAAAAGGTCAGTCGTCAAAACGCTCCTTGGACGTCATCTTACTCTTTGTAAAGTACCGACCGTCATGGATCACCAATAACAAATATACCAATACTCCTTCAAACGAATACATAAAAAAAAAAGACAAAATTAGCAGTTCAGTTATGAATTTCCAACTGTCCTCAAACTACCCACTTGACTTTGAAGTATCGAATAAATTTCAAACTATCAGGCGTTTCAAGTCAAATTTTTTCGATTCCCACGAAAAAGAAAAAAAAGCTAGATGAGATCCTCGTAATATTTTATGAAAACAGTCACCACATTTTAACATTTCGATTAGTCGCCTCTCGTCCGCACTCGACGTGGAACGAAGCGAGGGAAGAATAAAGACGGAAGAAGAAAGAGTGTAAGGAAAGAAAAAAGAAAGATCCAAAAAAAAAAGACAACAACCAACTTCATTTGCATGACTATGAAGGTATCGATGACTGCGCTGGTATCGTTAACGAGAAGTCAAATAAACAGAAAAATTTCGAGTATCCCAAGGAGTCTCCCCATGGGGACCACCATAAGACATTACGTCTTGACGCGATTCCCACGGGATCCTCCAACCCTACTGCCCGCTACCCCTCGCCCATGTTCCCGATCGAGTATATGAAGCGAGTCGAGAGCACCAAACAATTGTGGCGTCCATATAGTGTATACACGCGTATGAGCGTGATATATGGGAAAGCAAACAGACAGTCAATGACCATGCGGGAGTCATCGATCGTCAAGTCGATGAGATCTGAGCCTGTGTGACGCCGTCCCGACGCCCGACGTCCGACTCGTGACTCTATGACGCCAAAGGATCCCACCCACTCGTTATACTCTGTAAATATCAAGACTTATTCAGCATCCGAATATACTTGCCCACGCGACACGGTTAAACATAGGCGCCATCGGGGTGTCACGGGTAACGTTCAATCGAGCTCAATTAAGTTCAATTAAAAAGCTCAATATCTCGGGCAAAATGATAATTCGCGTAAAACAGGATATTTATGTCTGTTCCGAGCTCCTTGATTGACCGTCAATTGATAACGAATTATATGCATTTGTTACGCACGTACGAGTCTGTATTGCATCGAGGCACTTTATACGTACCTGTTGAATTTTATCGATAAGACGGGACCGGTCTGGTCCACAGAGCAATGCTAATTAGCTATCGTTTTATCTGGTAGCGACTTGTAATTATTTTATCGTTTATCAATGGATAGACCTGAGTCGGACTTGATTTTAAATGTCCAAATACCTTCAGACTACGGTAAACAAGTGGATATCGATATAAGTATATGTATAAGAGTACTTGCTCCAAGTGGAATAACGCGTACTTCAATGTTAAATGTTTATAGCCAGACTTGTGCCCGACTTATGAGTGAGACTTTATGAAGTTGTGAGGTTTATGAGGGTCGTCAATGAGTTACAGTTCGCTCGATGTGACTTCACTATTTACAACTGGAAATGGGTACATAATAATTTCAAGGATTTTTTCAAATAATGTTGGAATTAAATTTTTGAAAAAAAACATTTTACGTCGGATAATGTATCTACGTGTATTCTTGTTTCCGTTTACAAGAAACTTCTTGTATTTTCACACTATTTTTCTATACCGCACTTGTAATACTCAACTTGGGTCCATATAGTGTCTGGAATTCATGAAGTGGAAGTTGAAGGTTGCTCTTAGGTATCCACACGGTGGATGCGTATTTGCTCAAATAGTTATAGCCGGTATAATGTAAGATGAACAGTACTGAAAACGCGTAGTGCAATAGAAAGAACAAGCAATTTACCATTCCAGTGAATAACATTGATGGTTCCTTAAAAATTTGATTTCGCTTTTTTTTTTTTTTTTTTTTTTTAGTAAACAGTGGATATTTCACTAACGGTGAACAAAAAAGGAAACTTGAAAATATATTAGACCCTTTGGTAACCTAGTCTATTGTATACCTTTCAATAAGATTGACTACAACGTTATGGCTATCATAGAAATTGCAATACGTCAATAAGGAATGATGAAAAAATAATAATTGTCGCATTTTGAAAATACCCTTGGTTCAATGTTATCACTGATTGAGTCAATTCTTGTGATAATCAGAAAGATACAAGACGATAATTAGTCATGATCTGACGATAAACTATTTCACCGTAATAAGATCTACGTCGAGATACTTTTTATGGGATTTTAAGTGGGCCGCTCGCTTGAAAATCAGCAATGATATTTATATCCCAAGTTGAGTTTCATACTCGAATCCCTACCGTACTGAATCAATTATTTCTATTAGTCATTCCTTCCAGCTTTTATTATGGTCCCAGTTCCAATTCCAAATGCAAATCGCGACTGGTAGACGTACGAATGGCTCCACTTCCCCTAGCAATTAAATAACAATTTCATGGTTTAACGTGCCATAAAACAGCGTCGGGACGGCGCAACGGAGCGCCGTTTTATCACACAGCGCATCCAGTGTCCAAAGTCGGCATGCATTCAAAGATTCATTGCATCACTGCATTCTTAATCCCATTACAGATACGTAATGCCTCGTCCTACGGTCCTCATACCAAGTAAAAATATTATGTCAGATCCCATCATGCACTGGGACTCTTTGTTAACGTTAATAAAAATTTCATCCGACACTCTCACGATTCTAACAAAAAATTCTCAAAATCCACCATACACCAAAATTTAGCTAAGTTGACTTTAATTAACCCCCCATCCGACTCCCTCACCCATTAAATTGGCACAAAGTAAACTTGAAAAATTTCCATTAATTACATGGTAAGCCGTACCATAATAATACCGTACTAAACGGTAAGTGCATTAAGAGCACTTTATATATGCATCTCTGCGACATACAAAATGCAAGACAAACGTTATGGGTATCGACTCGCCAACATTTGCTTAGTCCGCTAAGTTTTATAGGCGAATTGAAACTTATCGTCCGTGACTTGTTACTTGAATTACAATACGGCACGGATAGTAAAGCAATGCGAGCGGAGTGCATTGAGTGTAAAGAGTCCTGCGACGCCCACGTGACAACGGAGCTACTCATAGGAGAGTCAGAAAGTGTTGACAAAAACTTCAACCACGAACAATCGAAGTTGGACGATATACATGACAACTGTGAAAGTTCTTCAAACTGTTTAATCCTAACGTATAAGATTATAGGAACTTTCGAGCATTCTATGGGATTTATGAGATAGGGTTGCGCGCGCATGTGGATTTTATGACGCGTGACTTTTCCCTCGACAGACGTACGATAAACGCACGTGCGTTTATTTCCGTAACATTTAATATTGGCACGATGGGTCCTTCCTTCTCAATTTTATACCCGGTGAGACAGTCAATTGCATTCATTGCTTTCTTTGTCCGTCGTGAGAACGTACGTACGTGGCTGTATGAGGCGTGAAGTTTGATTTATGTAAATCTATCATGTATCCTTTTACGATCACGGGAATGATTCTCTCTTCTGTATGATAAACAAAAAGCCGGTACCTCCTATGTGCAAATAGACACTGTGTGGCTACGTTATCTGCGAACGCCTAGAGGAAAATCCTGTTTGACGTAGCGCCACCTATGTGGGCAAAACCAGTCGCTCGAGGAAGCAGGACGCATTACTGGTGGGCACGTACCAAATCGATCGACTAGTTTTCGAAATAAAGTATGCAACGAGAAGTAGAAGCGGCCAAGATAGTACGGGTTAGGTAAATAAGATGATAGCCGGGGAAGGTAGAAACCATCGTAGCAATAAAGAAGATAGGACGTTAGAAGGAATGAGGGAAGAGCAACGTAGCCAAGTCACGTGATGAATTGCTCCAAGAAGTTAACAGCAATGTGTATACATATGGTATTTATGTTGCGTATATATAATATATGTATAAGCCGTTAGGTGTTTCGCGAGATGATTAAATCCCCATCGAGCACCCTCTCGTTATCCCTACTATACTTCTTCTATACAGCTTCTTCTTCTTCTTCCTCCATCTCATCTTCTTCTTCCTTCTTCTCCTTCTCGTTGCATAATGCATAACAGAGTGAAAACACGAGGAAGCCGTATAACGTCATTACATGGCAAATTGTCTGCAAATTTACAAGGCGGCTACACTGGTCGCATATAGAATGAGAACTAAGGAAGTGGCAACGAAAGCTCTTATTAAGAAATGGACCAGAGCTTGTTGAAGGATGGGATTTTGCGAAGAGTTTGAGAAGAAGCGAGATGAAGAAACGCGTCGGTCGAATGAAATACGAATGTAAAGTAAACCAAGTGTTATTGTAATTTTTGATTAAAAAAAATATTTTGAAGTTTGAAAAAATATTTCATACGCTTACCAATGCTTTGCGCGCTGACCATACAGCTTGCGAGATGTACTTAGTGCATTCTTATGATTCCTTTTACAGGACACAGTGGCTGCTGGAACAAAAATGCATTTTTTGAAAATTTTCAATTAACACACTTTTTCTACTTATTTTTTCATTTTACTCCTGACACTCTTATTAGTACTGTTACAGTATGGGTCTCGATGGTACCAGATCCGGGCACGTAACCGGTGCCATGATAATTCTATCTGGGTCTAATTAAATTTTTGATAAAGTCAATCTAAAGGAGCAAGTAATAAGTGCCTTGGGATAAGCTGGATTTATCTTGGTATTTATAAGCTAGGGCGATAACGTTACGACACGCATTAGACCTCAACTATCAGTATTACCTAAATAAGCTAATACCGAGAACAATTATTATTTCAGATTAGTATGGTCTAATTAAAAAATTGGTATTGCATAAATTTTCAAACTTTCAATCGGATCTATTCCTACGAGTAATTACAGAAATTTATTTCCTATTGAAATTTTTATTTCAACTACCATCAACTTACATTGCCCAGTCCTTTTAGTAGCGCTGCTTGAAGTACTCAAAGTGCACAAAAACTTTGCTAATTACACCACGTATACTTGATCTACCTTCGAACGTCTAGCTACTAATGCTCAAGTATAAATGTCTCAGACACTCGTAGGAAAACGATTATCACTTCCTATACTGAAATATACTAACTGTAACAATGGACAAACCGCGTAGTAATTCCTAGAACAACAATAAATATTTTATTGACTATGTTTTCTCAACTTTTTTTTTTATAAATGATATAAAAATCAGATATGACCTTTGGCCAAATGAATTCTTCGAGGAACTGATCTAACAGGTCAATATCAATTATTGTTGGGATCTTTTCTTCATTTAATCTGAAGCATGCATCAGTTACATTGCATTGTCGCATGACAAGACACGTAACAGACAGACTTCATGCAGACTTTGATATTGTGGTTGAGAGCCGACAGTGGAATTTTGTCCCTTAAATAAATGCACAAATATATATATATATATATATATATATCCGCTGCTTGTGAAACTCACTAAACTTACTGGTGTTTGTACAGCACGATAATGTAAGTAGGGTCAAGTACAGTGGAGATCTGAAAATTTCGACGGTCTTACTTAATTCCTCATTCAAGAACATAAAGGGAGAGTTTAACCAAGACTATAATGATAAATGCCAACATAAAAATCATATAACGTATGCGGACTAACTCCGATCGATGCAAAAATCCTGAAACGTAGAAAATCCATACGTATCATAAGTTATCACGAGACTAAAAAGTTCTCTTTTCGTTATCATATCAGACATGATAAAGCAATGATACCAGTTCGCATCAATATTGCATATGCCTATATTATACATATTGAAAGCGGAATATAAAAAAGCTTCAATGATCATTGGCAATCCAGTTTGAAAATTTTTATTGATTATAATGATCGACAGTTCGAATTTGATCAATCATTGAAGATTCGTTAGTTGGATCCATTGTTCTTCTCGTGTCAATGTATCTTTCTGGTTGTTCTATTATTTTTTTTTTTGTGACTGATAAGAAAATCATCTTCCTACCTACAGCAAAATCTTAGTTCCTACCGATCGGTGAGTCTTCGAGGGAGAAAAGGATTAGGGAGGTCGAGCGTTGGTGGATGATAAATTTGTTGAGTGGATTTCGATGTAAAGGAAGCCGCTCGTTATGCTTTTTCTATTTTCCGATCTTGCTCGCTTTCATTTTTGTCCGTCTGTCTGTCTATCTGACTGTACCAGGAACTGTCATTATCGTGGGAGGATAGTTGACCTTTTTGAGTTGAAAGAGTCATCTTGATTTTTACTTCCTTCTCATAAAAATAACATTATTGCTCGCTTTGATTTTTGTCCGTCTATCTGTCTATCTGACTGTACCAGAAACTGTCATTATCGAAAGAGCATAGTTGACCTTTTTGAATTGACAGAGTCGTCTTGATTTTTACTTCCTTCTCATAAAAATAACATTATTCAACGCCGTATGACATTTCAAGAGAACCGCAAGGGAGAGGCGATGATCAGGCTTACCGAGGGAAGAATAAAAAAATGTAAGACAAAATGAAAAAAAAAAAAAGTAAAAAAAAACCGAAACCCAAAAAAGGAAGTAATTTCATTTCGAGAATTTCACGGTGTCACGGATTATCTTGGTCACTGATCTCGAGAAAGTGACACTTTCGTTATTTTATTCATCTTCGCGTGCCTTATCCAACTTCCTCTTAACTTCAACTTCAAACGAAGTGGCACTTTGGCTCGACCGCACACACAGGGCCCTGTTCTCATCACACGCGTATTTTACTTGATAACTTGAAGCAGTGAAAATATACGTCTGGGTCACCGCTTCATTTGAATCCACGTGAAGTGGAGTAGGTACACGTCACAGAAGTGTCAGGAACAACTATCTTTCTTTTTTTCCTCAATCTTACCGATACGATCTAAAATCCCGTGAGAGGTGGAAAGAAGAAAAAAAAAATTGAATTTAAATACTTGTTATCATTTCAAGTGGAAGTTACGACCGTGAAGAAGACCTCGCATGTAATTTCTCAACCTTTATTATTATTATTTCTATTCTGTATACCATCTCGTTAATGTCCCATCGATAACCTGGAGTACGTAGCATGCTGAAGATCATCCAAATAATCGGTTATAGGAATCAGTACGAATATCTCTAATCCATAAAGCATCCAGCCAATTAAAGGCCGTTAATCGGATTGCCGCGAGGATTACCTCGATTGCGTCATTCATGCGTCCATTCGTTTACCTCGTCAAAACTTCTCTTATAAATCCACCATTTATTTCATCCAACAAAATCCCTAACCAAACGAACGTAAATCCCTAAGGATTTGTCATTTCTATACAGGATCGGCAGAAACTTGGATCGGCACGCGATCATCTTTTCTTGATCTTTATGCAACATCAATAGGATCGACTCCTTGATCAACGCTGCAAATCAATCATGAACATACGTTTATAAGGACGCGTATAAAATTCGGACACAGAAATATACTATACTACTAGTATGCTCATAATATGAAGAAGAAGTGTTACTCTAGTAGTATACACTCGGTGCATATATGCACCGGACTACTATTCCATATGCACCCTAATAGTATGAGCTCCCATCCAAAACCTCCTAGTGGCATTTATATAGGCAAAAGAGAACTGAGAGAACCTCTTTGCCAAGTATTGATAATACACGTCTGTTACAAGTGAAGCGAGGACCATAAGTGATCATCGTTATTCATACGTGTAAAGACCTCTGAACTGCAGGGATTAAATATGTCGCGTGTCAATGACGATATTTAGACCCGCAAAGCATAAGCAGCCAAGGATCGACCTATAGTTCGTCATAGTGAATGAATAATTGAAAGAGACGAAGATAATGATAATTAATGAAAAAAGAGTGATATGGTGACTAAAATAAAAAATTACATTAAAAAGAAACTCTTAAGTATCAGTCATATTATAATTGTAAACGTATATTATTATTTATGACCTTTGCAAATCGCCTTGGTCGAATACGTAATGTGTCACTAGGTAATGAGCAATGGTAATAAATCACAGAATGAATACGACCACGGTATATTGATATGTGGATATACACATGAGATACCATGGGGAGTCGAACGTCTACATTATATGATTTCTCTCGTGAGAACGGCCATTACGTGTAAATCAAATATACCTCAAGGTAGGAGCGAGCATTCTACAATAAATATAGTTATTGCTATGTTGTACTGTTGGAAATACAAAAAAAAAATATTTAACTACAGAACCGGCGCCTGGGACAGCTTCTGCGAGGGTCCATTGCTCGCCGGTTACGCCAGAGAATTATTTTATTCTGTCTAACGTCTAGAGTCTTGATCGCTGTTTCATGTTTCCATGTTTCACCCTTGGTACGCCGTGTGTCTACTGTGCGTACAGTAGTATGCATAGTATGCAGGCACTGGTACAGGTAAGTAGGTATGTATTGAACGTGGGCGCAATTTTATATGCAATTTCAAATGAGCCAATTTTATGTGCCCGTGTTCAGTGTTATTTCTGACGTTTTAATAAAGCTTGAATAACACTTTAGAGCTTAAGGGACGGATTTGCGTTGGGTGTTATACTTATTGGGTTAAAGTTATGGATGATCAAGAGACCAGGCCATGAAGATTTTCCAGTGGAAACTGTATACTTGCTTTTATTTTATGGTTCCTATGTATTTCAGTAGATCTTGGTATTATGCGAGTCTGGCATTTTTAGTTGCAATGTTGATTAGGAATTGGAACTGTTTTTGAGTTTTATAATGTTGACACGGCTAAAGCACTGTAATTGGAGCATCAGTCAATATTAAATGGTTCGGATACGAATGGTTTATCCAATGAAATTTATCTGAGAGATCCTTAATATTTTTTAAGTGTACATCAATAGGAAGGTAATGATCCAATTTACGAAATGTTTTCTCCACTTTCATTTTGTCTTGGTTCCATTGGAAGAAAAGGGTAAAGAAAGTAAGGATAGAGTAACGGGGGAAAAAATGCAACGGGGAAAATTTATGATTCGTATGTTTTTCAGTAGATCTTGGTATTATGCGAGACTGGCAGTATAGGTGCAAAGTTGATTAGGAATTGGAACTGTTTTTGAGTTTTATAATGTTGATACGGCTAAAGCACTGTAATTGGAGCATCAGTCAATATTAAATGGTTCGGATACGAATGGTTTATCTAATGAAATTTATCTGAGAGATCCTTAATATTTTTTAAGTATACATCAATAGGAAGGTAATGATCCAACTTACGAAATGTTTTCTCCACTTTCATTTTGTCTTGGTTCCATTGGAAGAAAAGGGTAAAGAAAGTAAGGATAGAGTAACGGGAGGAAAAAATGCAGTAGGTACCAACCAAACGGTCTAACGGCCTTACTGTAGTAGCTATACATACTAGACTACTAAACTACTCTAGAACCGTATACCACTACTCTACTCGAGTAACAGTTTGCCAGGTTTAAATAACCCGCCTAAAGCAAAGTCACAACTGGATACTGA